AGTCGTATAACTTTTTAAATGAATATAAAAGGTCTGAAATTGAAGAAGTTAAAAAAAGAATCGATAAAGAAAAAGACCCAGAGGAAAAACAGAAATTGCAACAACTTTTAAATAAATTGGTATTTGAAGTCATCTAATTGAAAATTGAATTCGTTTCATCATTATAATTGTTATCATTTATAATATATGTTTTAACCATTAAATTCATTTGTTCACATATACAACTTGTAAGCAATCTAGAGCTGCGCATGAGAGTAATTTAAACTTAGTCGTTTTCATTAACTCTATTAATGTAATACTGTTACGTTTATTCAATTTAGCCGAAGAAAAGAAATTGGAACTTGTTGACAAATTTAAAAAATTCCAGAAATCAGATTCCAAAGTGCTTGAGAAAGTCATTGAAAAGCGAAGGAAAAAGAATGCATCAAAAGAGCACAGATATGTCCCGTTTAAACGACGGTGCAAAATAGATTCGTGAGATGCGTTTAAGAATGACTTAAATAGGTAGGTGACACGAACAAATGTGCTAAAAACACAGTATTGTTATATCGAACTTATTATACGTACGTATGCTTGAGATGGCCAACAATTTGTTATTTTAATGTGTTAAACCACAGGATATTGTTACGCTTTGTTTCTGTAAATCCTTATTATGTAGAGCTTGTGATAATAAATTAAATTTTTTTGTTTTATAACGATAATATATAATACTGGAAAGCTAGTTTTTTGTACCAGAGGTCTATTAGTTTATTATATACCCAGTTTTTATGCCCAGTTTTTATGTTAGTTTGCCCGGCACTAGGTTAATTCGGGCTGGTTTTATAATCGCTGTAATAAAGATGTTTCATATGTGATTTCCATCTTAGTTTAATAATCTGGATTTTTAATAATGTGGTGTGACTTTTTTATCACGGGAAAATCTACATAAGTAACTTTTGAACATTCTTTCTAACGATTGAAATAAACTTGTCCACGAAACTCTTTTAAATTGTAACCGTTATGGGCATACTAAATTTGGAAGAACAACTTGCGTTTTACGGACAATATCACAGCAATAAGGTTAACATTGTTATTCACACCGGTACAGGACTTTTACTGTTTTGACCTAGCTATAATTTTAAAGGTTCTTTTGCTAAATAAATTTAAGACTTATCTTGTATTCATTTTCGTCTGTTTTGTAGTATGTGTTCCTCTCATCTTATGGAGCGTTTTGGTTTGGGCAGCGGACACGGGTCCACTACTACCCTATGATTCAAATTCTTTGTGGCGTTTGACCCCGTTCGTTCCAAACGCGGCACTATTTATCGTGTTTTTTTATATTTGCTATTATATCCTGCTAGAACCCGTTGCAGGGGTAAAGTTATGAATTTAGTCATTTATTCTAGTTATTGTAGTTATTGGATTTAGATATTCATTCATCAGACATTGTCATGTTCCCTGATTCATTATATAGGCCCTTTATATACCATTTTTGCTGCCTCCTACCCCAATCATTTTTCCATCGCCACAATCGTTCACGTTTCATCGTGGATTATACAGTTTATTGGTCATGGGTTTTTTGAGAAAAGAAGTCCTGCATTAAAAGATAATTTCGTTCAAGGTTTGCTCTTTCCGTTTATCATTTTCATTATTTAAATATATAGCAAAAATTGTAACTAATTATATATTCAATCTATTATGAATTGATACAATTTTATTTATTTAAAAGTTGTTGCAATTTCTGTTTTTCCTCTGGA